ATTGTAACTGTTTTTTTTCTTATAAGAAGCCAATGGTGATGTTTGAGAATTTTAAGCAAAACAATAGTTGGTGTACCAATTCTCATTATATTTATTCATGAGACCCACTATTCATTTGGAAGCTTTGCATTGCCAACTTGCAAAGTCAGCATTCTTCACTCTAAAATAATCCTACCTATTCAGATAATTGAGCCATTTTCTAAAAGATGGTCCCTGGGAAATACATAAAATAAAACAGTAATAAAAATGGCCTACTTAAAGTGACCACCCAAAAAAATACAATAATAGAAGTGATTGTACACTTACCTATCACTCGTGTCCTTTTTTCAAAGAGTTTTGAAAATTATTGGAGTACTTTACTGTTTACTCAAGACTCTTGAAGTGCTAGGATTTAGAAGACTCGAAAGGCTTAGACCGTAAGGCATAATTATTATATGGCTACATGGCATAACATATAAATGGCAAGATCCATCATCAGTTAGAGTTATCAGTGCATATGGGCAATTTATGGCATGTGCACACATAAACTGCTTTTGCTAGCTAGATTGAGCTTCCTTCAAGTAACAAACAACCGTGAAAACTGATACTCATTATATTCCCTTTTTTTCTTTTCTTTTTTTTTTTCTTTTTAATAACTTTTTTAATTATACACACCTATCTAAAGATACTTTAACTAGGGAACCAACTGTATCTTCTCAAGAAAGGTTGCAAATAATATAATACTTAGAGACTAATACTCTGCTAATTCTCAAACTGCTAATCCTCGTCAAGAGCCATAGAATTGGCATAATCAAAAGATGAAATTTTTATGAATGTACATGTTACTTTATTAATAACGAGAGATACATGTCTGAATAACATCATCCACTCTGTACATAATAGTAACACAATTTCGATATGCCGATAAAGTCATTAAGGAAAAATAAAAGGAAAAAGAAAGAAAGAAAGAAAAGGGAATCTGAAGCCCACAATATGTTATACACCCAAGTAAACAAACACAGAGATAAAAACATCTCCTGTTTAAGACATATAACAACCTTTTCTAAAACTTGTCAAGAACATGACCTTGAACTATACAAAGAAAATATTGGATTCTCGTTCGAGTAGAACTTCAAGCTGGCTACTTGTTCACGGACACTACAGTTGAAATCACCTAAATATAAGTAGAACAAACTAAAGCCCACGAAGACTGATCCAGTCTTTTATTAAATAGCCAAAAGAAAAAAAAAACATGATGGACCTTAATTCTCATTAATCACGCATAATGCGGATTAAGTTCCAAGGCCTCCTTGTATATCAGCTCCTTCATTTGTTCTTCTGTCAGCACTTGGTGCTCCAACTCAAAAGAGAACGAATCCAAGCAAACTGGCTCGTCAGCCGAGTCATGCAATCTCTCTAAGTAAGGATGCTCTAAAGCTGCCTCAACTGCAAACAAAACAACACAAAAAAAAAAATATCAACCACAAGCAAGAAAAAACAGAAAATCCACAGTAAACAACACACATACAATACAACTCACCTGTAATTCGCTTGGTGGGGTTTATTGTGAGCATCTTATCAACAAGATCAATGGCCATGGGATTCACGTGCGGGAAAATCTTTGCCAAATTCTGTCGAGGGTATTGGGGGAGTTGTCTTATGTACCTTTTCGCATCCTCATTTCGTGTCGAATCCAGGTCAGCATCTGTGGGTGTGCCCAAAAGCTACAAATGTACATCATCAATCATCAGTACCTAAAATTTTACCGAAATCATGCACCGTGAAATATATATATACATAATCTAACGAACTAGAAAAGTGAACAATTCATTTAACTACTGTTGATATCCGACTTGACTGAATGGAGATTAATCACACTATTGAAGAAATAATCTCTTGAGAAGGTGAACTCACTGTAAGTCGGTATTAATTACAACTAATTACCGACTTCTACATAGTTACCGGCTCTGGAAGGTCTTCGAAAAAACCGATATCTGAAGCCAACATAAATAAACCGACTTCAGTTCAACCGACTATCGCGAAATTTGAATATTCCAACAGAAGGTAATCATTAGAAGCATCTGATTGGACCAACAAAACAAAAAGGCAATCATTGGTGTTTCCCGCCGCTTCAAGTAAAGCAGCTCAACATTAAATGCATCTTTATCCATTTCAAGGAAGAAGACAAAAGCCACCATACTATAAATAGCTGAATTTATGATAGTACGAGGATCTTTTTTTTTTTCGAACACATTGTACATGAACTAAAGACATCTCGGTTTTCAGTAAAAAACCGACTTCTGTACTCTTGTGATTATAACAAATAAAAATCAAATTGAACAATTATCCTAGTTTTCTTGACACCTGCTGTGTTTAATTTTAAGTTCTTAATTCAAGACAACAACAACTACTTCATTACTTAAGAAAATAAACTCTTTTTATTTAGAATTAATGTAGAAATTGAACCTTAGTTTTATTGGATCTGATTCTGATCCCACAAAAATCGTCATTTATTTGTTTGTTTGTTTGTTTGTTTCCAATTCTGGTCACCAAATCAATAAAGTTAACGAATCTTCATGTATACCTCGATCAACAAGTGCATTTGGTGGACATGATCTTTTCCAGGGAACAACGGCTTTCGGTTTATGAGCTCCATGAAAATGCAGCCGACTGACCAAACATCAATGGCTGCACTATATTCAGATGAATTCAAAAGCAGCTCAGGAGCCCTGTACCATCTCGTCACCACATATTCGGTCATGAACTCGTTTTCCGAGTTCAATCGAGCAAGACCAAAGTCGCATATCTTGAGATCACAATTAGCATTCAGTAATAGATTGCTGGGTTTCAGGTCACGATGTATAATGCCGGCCGAGTGTATGTATTTGAGGCCTCTAAGGAGCTGGTACAAGAAGTACTGAGAATAAACATGAATTTAGTGAAATTCTATAATAATGAAAATTAAATGGTCAAAAACAATATAAAGATTAAAAAAAAAAAAAAAATTACCTGACAATGCTCCTCGGATAAGCCCTGATTAGAACGAATGATTTGGTGGAGATCGGTGTCCATAAGTTCTGTAGCTATATAGACATCTGTGAATTCCCTTCTTAAAGGGGGAGGGATCACATCTTTTATGGCAATCACCTACATTAACATTTAACACAATATTTTTAAATTCATGAGAGTAAGCCATGGAATAAACCATCATTTTCTCTATGTTACGGTTCAGAAGAACCTTTCTGCTGAAAAAATTATCTTTAATCACTTTGTATATGCAAATTGCTTTGTATCAACATAAAGGAGTGTGTTTAAGAGATTCTATTGAAGTACACAAAAATAGAGGCTTTAAATGAGTATATATGCAATTATATAATATGACTACATTGTTCTACTCATGCAAGAGAAGTCATGTGAGTATCTTTAAAAAAAAAAGAATGTCAAATTAAAACACTTAATTTACTTTAACAACTAATACAATAATTGATATGAAAATAAGTATCAAATTTTCTTCAAGTCACATTACACTTCACGAATCGAATTAGGCCACAAAACAAAGTACTTGTTCCAAAAATCAAATCAAACAAGAATATTTCCTATATTTTAAGCTCGTAAATAAGTTTCACTAGTCATGAGTTGGGTGAAGAATACAAACATTTTCATGGTCCAAGTGGCGAAGAAGCTTGATCTCCCTAAGGGTCCTCTTGGCATCCATGTAATTATCAAACGCATTCGCAATCTTCTTGATTGCCACCATCTCTTTCGTCTCCGTATTCAAAACCGAGCTTCATTAATGTACATAAAACAGAAAAGTCATAACATAACACAAATTCGAAAGCATCCGGAACAAGTTTAACTTCTTTACCAACTCCAGATTCAAAAACTCAGGCTAAATTTATCACTTTCCGCATCATAAAAAAAAAAGGGTAAATTAGCAAAAATCACCTACAATAGTTACCATCAGTTATTTAAAATATCTTTTACCATTGACCAAAAACAAAAAACAGAGTAAATAGAAATATCCATAGTCCTTTACCAGACTATGCCGTAAGCTCCGCGGCCAATAGGCATTATCGGAGGCCGATACTTGGCGGTGATCTCGAACATGTTACCAAAAATGTTGTACTGAATATACTGTCCTCCGTGTGTGGCCACCGCCGGAAAATCGGGATACTGGCCGCCGGCGCCTCCCATGTCTGCCATTCTTTTTTATCAATAGGTTTATCGCAATATTGCAACTATAAAAGAGAATTGATGTGCATGAAGATCATAAAACTATACAAGTGTGTGATTATGAGAGTGCATATATAAATAAATGAATAATTGAAGTGGAATTTTTTGGATGAGGGTGTTACTGGGAAAGTAAGAGGTAATGGGGAAAGAAAACGCGTCTAGCTCATAGTAATACAATCAAATGGGAGTTTTTGAAAATGATATCAAACTTATAGAGCCGCCGGTGATCCAACGGCTCCTATTGGTTTAGTCAATATTAAACTCAGCAGGTAGAGTAGGTCCATATATCTCGATTATCATCAATTTGCTTTAATACTACTAGTTTAACTGGGCATGTCAAGGTTGACTTGACGAACGAGTCTCTGTCACAGACCCAACTTGACCAGTTGACCGAATAACTCAGCTAATCACAGTAACATTTTAGAAGAGGAAATTTCAAAAAGTCCACGACCCATACTATTCTATACAATAATTCACCAATATTTATATCTTGTTACAAAATTTGTGTAGAATTACAAGGCACCCAATTTTATTTAACAGATTAATAGTTAAACAAAAGCAAAACCTAGCACCATTAATTTAGAAGTTTAGATTTATATAAGTCTTGCTATAATAATATAAGAAATCTGCATTTACCTATTTTATCGATATTTTCCGATTTAACATGTATTTTGTGTATGAAACTGTTATCAGAGCATCTCCAATGGTAAGATGTAGTTGTAGTAAATTATACTTTATATTAGCAAATTTAGCAATGTCTTCACTTTTAATCTTGCAATGCACCTTGTAATTACAAATGTAGTGATGAGGTAGACATAATTAATATCCACAATGTAGAAAAGAACGTGGTTTATTCACACTAGTTGCAACTCGTGCATTTGCACGGAGAGCTATATGATAAAGGAAAAAAATAATATAAAATAAAAACGACAGTAAAAATCATAACATAATCATTGAAAAAAAATATTTTAATATTCAAATTATAAGTTAAATAAGTGTATTATATTTTAATATTAAAAATCATAACATCATCATTGAAAAAATTAAATATTATTAAACACTTCTTTATATACAACGTTCGTGGTTTTTTATCATCGGCATCTCCATCAGCACAAATCAGAATCTTTAAACCCCTCCGACCCGTTACTCTAGAAAGCGCCACGTATAATTGTCTATGACTAAATACAGGGCTCTTCAATAATAGGCCGATGTGCGACAGTGATTGCCCTTGACTCTTATTGATTGTCATAGCATAGGAAACCATGAGAGAGAACTGTCTGCGCTGAAACTCGAACGGTACCCTCAAATCGGATGGTATGATTGTGAGCCTAGGAATAAGAACCTTATCACTAGCTCTGGCACCGGTTAAAATTCTGCATTCTAGGACATGGCTGCTTAGCTTAGTAATAACCAATCGAGTACCTGTCGAACTCAAAATTTAGACAACAAAAAACATATCACTCGAACTTTTACAGAAATCAAAGAAAATACAGACAATATATCGAATTTTATAGGTAACAGTACCGTTGCACAACCCCATGGAGTGATCAATGTTTCTGAGCAGCATCACTGGAGTGCCAACCTTCAAGTGCAATTTATGATTGGGAAGTCCCGAGCACTTAATCACATTGAGAAATTCAGGAGTATGAAGATCATGAAGATAGTCATATCCAGCATCTGACTTGCAAGCGGTGTCCGAACTCAAATAAGTTCTTCCCTCGGAGGAGTTCAATGAGCTTATGTATTCATTGACAGACTCAACAACATCAACGGTGGGAGCGAGTATGGCTCTGTGCTTCAGGTAGATAAGATCATCGCCCGAACTCCTAAACATTAGGTACGTACTCTCAACAATAGAAGCGATAGGATCCCCTTGTGATTTCAGAAGAATATCGTCGGGAATGTTAATTTCAGCACATCCATCGTTCGATCCACCGGCAGTACCGTCGTCAATGCTTGCAAGCCAATCCGAGAAAAGCCTCAACTCATCGTACTCAGCACCCCCACCAAGGCTTCGAAGCCTCATGTTCTGAGTAAGTCTCAGAATGATACAGTGCCGCCATAAGCTGGATGAATTGATGGTCGCATTCATTATGTCACTCCGAGTGCCTTTAGGCACAACAGGGAGTATCTGTCTGAAATCGCCACCAAATACAACAGACTTGCCGCCAAAAGGGAGATTTTTCCTCGATGGATCAACTACTTGCATTAAGGCTCGTAAGGTGTTGTCAACAGCCTGGAAGCAATACTTATTCATCATCGGGGCTTCATCCCAAATGATGAGTCGACATCGTATAATCAGTTCGGCCAATGGACTCTGCTGGCTAATGTCACATGTCGACTCTTCGGTTGGGTTTAACGGGATTCTGAATCGTGAATGCGTAGTCTGGCCGCCGGGGAGCAAAAGAGATGCGATACCGCTCAATACAACGTTCAACACAATTTCGCCCTTTGACCTCAAACCAGAAGACAACGCCCTCCAGATATAAGTTTTACCGGTTCCGCCGTAACCATAAACAAAAAAAAATGTGGCCGTGGGTACAGTAGACTGAGTCCATAATTGAGTCATAAACATTGCGCTGCTCAGCAGTCATGTTGGCAACCAATTCCTCATTCTCAATCGATAGTGCTCGACGATCGTAATTCAACTCGTCCATCACAAGTCTGTTCGTTGACGCCTCATTACGATCGAGAACAGGAAACGGCATTGTACCATAGTTGCGTTAACTCATCCCACGGCGTCGCAAAATCTTTTCGACCTCTGCCAAAGCGAGATTCTTTATTTCCTCATCGGTCAAGACCAATTCTGAAACAATTATATTACAAAAAATAATAACAAAGATAAAACATATAAAAATGAATAAAATAAAAAATAAAAATAATTGAATTTGTTACCTGGGTGGTGTAGAAGCCTCCGACGGTTATATAATATGTCATCCGATAGGTAATGCCAACAGGCGTCCCACACAAACTCCGGTCGACCGAGAGTATCGGATGAAAGAAGAGTCGCAAAAAGGTTCCTCAATGAACTTGGGCTCGCCCATTGGCTTGCCTCAATAATGCCTTCTATATACTCCTTATCGTCCTCCACCAAACCAAGAGCAAAACACGCGTCGCGATACGAATCGTGTTGGACGCCATTCAACTTCATTTAGTCACGATGGCATGTTGCTCCTCGAACAACATTGATAAGGCACCTCAAGTAAAATATATCTCCAGCTCCGGGGGGACGAAGTATAAACGCGCAATCAGATTGCTTCCTTTCCTAGGCTCCCAACTATTCGTTTCTGAATGCCACGTAAATTTAGTGGGAGCCTCAACATATGTCAGTTCTCTGGTAGCGGGATACTTCTTGTTGGCCTCCATCCAAGCCAAGAATTTGCTAACGGGCTTTTTATTTTTTTGAACCACTTGATCGATCGGAACTTCATCATCGTAGTAGCAAGGATGTTCGTTTTCGAGGTGAAAATTCAAGCGTTCCACTGATGGCCTCTTGTACTGAATCTTAAACTCCAACAACCGCCATGTGGCCTCACAAGATGAAACATACCGGCAATCGTAGTACATCTTGACCTCTTCAACCGGCCTGCTAAAAGACTCAGATCCATTGGACTCATAAAAGGTGGTGATAACGCGATCATTCCCCTTGTTCACGTACTTGAACAAATATTTGATGGACCTCGACTGGTTGCACCATTCCATATTTACGTGGGCGCCATACTTTAGGAGCAATTTTCTATTATGAGGCACAACGTATCTGTTATCTAGGGGTATGCCGTTCTTTTCTATGGTCCTGCCATTATCACGACGTATGTATCGTGGATAGCCTTCCTGATCCAGGGTGGTGGTTTCAGAGAACTCCTTTGGAAAATGCTTCATGCAACAACCATTGACCATACATGGTGATTGGGGGCGTACACTTCCGCAAGGGCCGTGCATCATATGATCTCTAACGGCAGCATAGTAAAATGGATCGGTGGCCTCATTTGGTATTCTGGCAGATATTATTTTATCTATGCCATCAGTGGTCTGAATCTTGTGTTTTTTAGCCAGGAATAGCAAGATATGGGCATGTGGAAGGCCACGTTTCTGGGATTCAATCGTGTATATAGCTGCAAACAATAATTTATTTGGTAAAAAACAATACAATGAACACAAAAGATTTTGAATTTAAATAAAATGAATTACAAAAATATTAATATTAATAATATTAAGTACCTGCATTCACTTCACCAAACATCTTGTTATGTCGAACATCCCTCATCAAAGCATCCAACTTAGCCTTAAATACCCAACAAATTATATCAGGACGATCCTCTTGTTTGAGATTCTTATTAGCGAGAAAACGACTGATTTCTGGCCACTTAGGGTTGCAAGTGAAGGTTATGAATATATCAGGATAACCGGTCCACCGGCATATGGCCATCGCGTCCTGATAGTTCTCAATCATATATCTCGCGCCACCCGTAAAGGATGAAGGCAATATAATCCGTTTGCCTTGAGAAGCAGGATCGGTGTCTCCTCGTAACACAGCATCCGAAAGACGACTGTACAATTCGGTTCTAAGTTTTGTTTGGTTAAAACAGATATATCTGAGTCGAGCTCCTTCGACCATTGTATACGCGTCCACAACGAACTGCTGATACAACCTCCGGGCTGAGAGGATAGAAGACAATTCGCAATCACGATCGTGCATTCGATATTTGAAGAACTCCAATGGACTGATAAATTTCCTCGACCTCTCCGTGATCGGTTTTAGGAGAGAAAATGGAATGTCCTCCCTGTAACCATCCTCGCCATATGGAAAAAGAATAGGATAATGGAGAGCCAAGTAGGAAGCGTTCAACTCGTTGATACGCTGCAAACGGCCGCTCCGATGTTCTACTATAATATCCCGGCTGCCCATAGCATCATCGAAATCACCAACAACTAATGCTGCAACTTCAGAAGTGGACGGTAAATTATAACACCGATCATCCTTATTCCTTCTTCCAATAAGTCGCATCTTAACTTCGCAATGCTCGAGTTGGTTCAACTTCTCCCTCGCCATTCTAAACGACTTAACCAGCACATTGTATAGATCAAGCATCTCTTTCAAACCACGCACTATTTCCCCATCAAGATTATTTCTTTCACCACCACTCCTGAACAAAAAGAACATAGCAAATTGAATTAGTAAATAAAATGTAAAAAACGAAGCTTAAGATGTAAGTAAGAAATGTTAATGATAAAATATAATATATACCTCACAGAAGATAGCCTGTTCGATATTTCATTCTCTGTGTCATAGATGTACAATTGAGCAAATTTGGGAGGAGCACCATGGTCGGGTAGCAAACTACCCATTAAATGATAGTTTTGACCGTGCAAACGGAAGACGGGCGGACCGCTGCCGTTGTTGATGCCGGTATCAATCTTCCCTCCCATGGATGTAAAACAAAACATGTTGTTGTAGGATCGAATGTTTTCTTGAAAGTGCTTACTCCGGGGGCTTGTGCCGAAAATCAGTTCACGCAGGAACGGGGGAGGAGTGTAAACAGGTGGAACTTCGATGAATCCGTGGTTGCAACAACCAGAATACTTTGGAACCCTAGGGTTAGATGGCTTTCCCAGTCGCTCGGCATACCAAAATCTAGCACCACAGTGAAGGCAACGGTACGATGCGTCACCAATATCCCAGTATTCTGCAAAATCATATTAACTAAATTAAATATTTAACAATTTATTTAAAAAAATAATAATGTATATATCTTACCAATTAGTGGTGATACACAGTTAAAAAAATAGGGAAAAAAAAAATAATTAAGACATAAGTATATCATTACCGGTGTTGATGGATAAGTGCGTAGAACCGACAGATGTAGATGAGCCTCGGGTATTATTGGGCCTTCGAGATAGATTTTGCCTACGGACAAAAGCAGACAAAACATCCTCATTTGTGGGGGGAGGGACTGAGCACCTCGGACGTCCGCCTACATTCGTTCGAGGTGGCAAGTTTAATGATGAAACTGCAAAACAGTGGATTATTATTATAAACAAAGAAAACAAATATATAAATATAAATGAGAAACATTTTTTTTTATTTAATGAATAAAATTAGATAAAATTATAAAGAATTTGAATTACCATTTGTGGGGGGAGGTAAATCGCGCCTCGGACGACCGCCTACGTTGATCTGAGGTTGCAAATTTGATGATGACACTGCGAAAAAAAAAAAGAAATAATATTTTAATAGAAATTAGCTCAAAATTTGAATGATTGAATAAAATATATAACTTTTTTTGTTTTACGTCAAACTATATAAATTAAAAAAGTTGATAATAAAATTAAATTTACCATTTGTGAGGGGAGATAACGCGAGCCTCGAACGACCGCCTACATTCTTTCGAGGTGGAAAGTTTACTGACGGAACTACAAAATATTAAATTACAATTGAAAAAAATTAATAAAAGAAAAACATCTTGTCGCAAATGAATAAATGTAATATTATATTTCATATAAACAAAAGCTTTCAACTAATTGATAATGAATTTAAAATTACCATTGCGGACATTATTAACCAAGTTTCTCGTTGGCACATTTTCATGATCGTCCATTGTAAGATCAATCAACTGTACTAATCCGCTCGAAGAAGCATTACTGATGTGAGTTATTGAACTATTTTGGGACGAACGTTGAGAATTTGCGACTGGAATACCTAAAATAAAAAAAATATATATATACAACAATAACAATCTTAAAATTAATGAGATAAATTTTTAATAATGATATAAAATGAATACAACAATAAAAAAATTACATACCAGGTTCTTGAATGGTAGAATGCGAATTATAAGTGACAATCGATCTTTGGAATGAAGGTGTTGCCGTAGGCATATCAGATAACGTACCTACAATAATTAAATTGATAGAATAAAATTATATGCTGCAATGTAGTTTTAAATTTTCAGACACAACATATAGATTATTTACATTATAATATTTTATATATAAAATTTTTTGGCAATAAATAAAATTAATTAATTATATTTGCATGAAAGTTTGTAATATATATTTCAACATTATATGTTTTCAAAATACTTTATGTAATGGTGCTAATTGACCATTCAGTCAAATTGGGAAAACCAATAATTAAGGTCAATTTTGTTTCATAAATTAATTTTGTTGTTCTATATTTTGTATCAAACTAAATTTGGTCATGTGTTTATAACATAATAGCCCAAACTTTGAAAGAAACATAACAATTGGGCTATGAATCGGATTATAGCATTTAAATTATAATAAGCCCGTTGTTTTTATTTACACGGCCCAAAATTAAAAAAATAAGTGTAGACAATTAAATTTTGAGCCAATAAAATGGCGACAAGTGTCAAATTCCATGTTAAAATCAATTTAATAATTTTTTATTTTATTTGGGAAATTAATCAAATTTTAATTCCTAAATTAAATAGTTAATTAATTGTTTATTTAATATATATTGTTGGCCAATTAAAGAATGCCACATGTATATTTTGAAGGCCAATTAAAGAATGCCACATGTCATTTTCTTGGAGAGTAAAATAAATAATTATCTCTTTAAATAATTATTAAAGAGATAAATAAGTGGAAATTCATGGACCAATCAAATTGAAGTCTTCTTTTCCAAGAGTCCATCTTCTAATTATCTCTTTAATAAATAAATATTGGAAATTATGGACCAATCAAATTGAAGTCTTCTTTTCCAAGAGTCCATCTTCTAATTATCTCTTTAATAAATAAATATTGAAAATTATGGACCAATCAAAATGAAGTCTTCTTTTCCAAGACTCTCTCTCCTAACACCTATAAATAGGGACCCTCCCTAAGGTGAAAAAACACAATTCATATTCATATTTCAAGTTTCAAGTTCAAGAGCTCTAGAGAATTCTCTCCACGAGATTCAAGTGTTCTTGAAGATCCAAAGGCGTTCTTGAAGATTCGAAGGAAGATTCAAGAGCATTCAAGCTCAAGACAAACGTTCAATCCGGAAACAAGCTGCCAAGCCTCCGAATTACGTTATTAAAGTCAAATCCGGCGTAGAGAAGATCGAAGATCAACTTTGCAACGAAAACCAAAGACTCGTGTTCTTCACGTTCTTGGGAAATCAAGACGTTCGATTCGAGATGAAGCTGTCAAGCCCTCGAAGAAACGTTATTTAAACTCATATTCAAGACCGGCGGAGATCAAACTGAAGATTCGTCTCCAAAAGTCTCAAATCCACTTGAAGATTGTTCTTGAAGAAATTAATCAGAGGAATAATAGAGATTTAGAATCCACTTTATTTCATTTGATCCGTTGAAATCCATTTGTACGAAGTTCTCGTGTTTATTAATTCAATAATACAAATTTTGCGTTACAAATTTCTGGCACGCCCGGTGGGACAATCTCTACCTCTCATCTCTTTTCTTCAAGATATCTAAGTGCAACGATGACTCCTCCAAAGTCAACTTCTTCAAGTTCTGCAAGTGAAAGTGTTGGTGTCACAACAAGAAGCATGGCAAAAAGCAAGAGTGTATCTCTAGAAGTAAATTCTCACCACGTTGAGGGAAACATATCGCCTTTGAACCAAGAAGAAGATTTAAGAGACGATGTTTCATCAACACCTTTCTCAATGGAGGCACTTGTAATGATGACGAACGCATCAACCATTGAAGAGCAACTTGCAACCATGGCAAAAACAATGGAGGCATTGATGAAGCATGTCCAAGATCAAGACTCCATGATCTTAAAGCTGGTAGAAAAGGTCGACAAGGCTGAGACTAGCCGTGCTGGGGGCAAGCAAGATGAAACACATGAAGATGAAGAAACTTCTAAAGAAGATGAGGTGAAGCAAACTGAAAAAGAGAAGACTACGTCAGAAATCCATGTTTCTGCAAGTGGACTCATACCAACTGACCAACTCAAAGAATTCATCATGGGAACCATTAAGGACAAATTTGATGTAGGCTCCAAGTCGTCTTTAACTTATTCGAAGCCATACACCCAAAGGATTGATAGCTTGAAGATGCCTACTGGATATCAACCGCCAAAATTCCAACAGTTTGATGGTAAAGGAAGCCCGAAGCAGCACATAGCTCACTTCATTGAGACTTGCAATGATGCTGGAACATATGGAGATCGTCTGGTGAAACAGTTTGTGCGATCATTAAAAGGAAATGCATTCGAGTGGTACACCGACTTGGAGGCAAATTCTATTGATAGTTGGGAGCAACTAGAGCAAGAGTTTCTCAATCGTTTCTACAGCACACGAAGGACGGTCAGCATGATTGAGCTCACTTCTACAAAGCAGTGGGATGAAGAGCCTGTTATTGACTACATCAACCGATGGAGAAATCTAAGCCTCAATTGCAAGGATCGACTGTCTGAAGCTTCTGCTATTGAAATGTGCACTCAAGGGATGCATTGGGGTCTCCGATACATTCTGCAAGGAATTCAACCTAAGTCTTTTGAAGAGTTGGCCACTCGCGCACATGATATGGAGTTAAGCATGTCTGCAAGCGGAGTCAAGAATCCACCTGTCCATGAGCCTCAAAGATTCAAGGACCGAAATGAAGCCAAGAAAGGGGGCAAGTTCTCCTCTAAAGCGCCTAACAAAGAGGTGAAGGAAGCAATGGCGGTCAACGCAAGACCCATCAAACTCAAGGGAAACACAAGTGAGAAAAGTGTGGAAAAGAAAGAAGTACCTCAAGACAGGGGGCAAAGAAAGTTAACCTTGAAGGAGATGCAAGCCAAACAATATCCTTTCCGTGACTCTGACGTTTCTGGAATTTTCGACGATTTGATTCGGGAACAACTTATCGAAATTCCGGAGATGAAACGACCTGAAGAAGCAGGACATGTTGACAACCCAAAATACTGCAAGTATCATCGTTTGGTGAGTCATCCCATCGAAGATTGCTTTGTCTTCAAAGATAGAGTTATGCAGTTGGCACGACAAGGCAAGATATCGCTTGAAGAAGACAAAAGTACTGCGAACTTTGCTTCAATAGTGAACTGCGATGAAGGATATGAAAGTTTCGCTTGTAATATGACAAGCGAGCAAGATGATGTTCCAAGTGATGATGAGTCAACTGATGACAAAGAACCATGTGATCATGAAGACAATGATGCGGCAGTCACCTTCACGGATGAAGACTTGATGTTGGGATCAAAACCCCATAATAGGCCTTTATTCGTAACTGGTTACACTCGTGAGAAAAAGGTGAATCGCATATTGATAGATGGAGGTTCTGCAGTGAACATTTTATCTCTACGCACTCTAAAAGAACTGGAAGTCCCGATGGATGAACTTTCAAATAGCCGTTTGATGATTCAAGGCTTTAACCAAGGGGGGCAACGAGCTCTAGGCATAATTAGATTGAAGTTAGTAATCGGGGAGATGACTTCAAATGCTCTTTTCCATGTGATAGATGCCAAAACCTCCTATAACATGTTGTTGGGACGTCCTTGGTTGCATGAATATGGAGTTGTGCCTTCTACCTGGCATCAATGTTTTAAATACTACCAAGATGGTGTAGTAAGAAAAGTTCTTGGAGATGATAAGCCTTTTACTGAAGTCGAGTCTTATTTCGCTGACGCCAAGTACTATTTTGAAGATACCAAGTCTGCTCACAATAAAGAAACTCCCATCAAACAGCAAAGTGATGCCAAAGAGAAGAAAGCCAAT